TGGGGGAGTGCAGAGGTGCAGCGACAGCCGCTGCTGCCAGGCGGACTTGCAGACAAGGAGAGACCCACGGTGTTGGCTGCTACATGGCATCCGCAGGAGCGAGTGGCTGGCTCTCTCGTGGGATGAGTGCTGGAGCACTCAGGAAGGCCACAGGTGGACAGGAGGCAGGGAGACTTGGCAGTGGGAATTCAGAAGCTTCGCTGACCCAGGGAGCAGATGGACGGGCGCTCAGCAGAGAGTCGCCTACACACTGGGCGCCTGCCTGCAGTAGCCTGGGATGGGCTAGAGACATGATGAGGGAGAAGGCAGGCAGGACTTGTGCCCTGCTCAGGAGAAACCCATTTCCTGTAGGCAGAGGCCAAGCACCATCTGCTTCCTGCCTCTAACAACTGAGCTCTGGGAGCACTGGTGAGGCCTGGTCTGAAGAAGAGACTCGGACTGAACAGGGAGGCCACCATCACCACGGTCCTAGGACAGAGCCAGGTGTGGGGAGGAAAGGGCAGGTGGGCCAGGCCAGCGCAATCTCAGGAAGACAGAACCCACGCAGGCTTCTCAGCAGGAGGACAGAAGTCTTCAGGCTCTGTCGTGGGTGCTAGATGGACGATACCACCAGTTTTCAAGGTAAAGAGCAGATGAAGAAAGCGGGTTTTGAAATAATGTGAACATTTCGTTTTGAAAAACGCTGGGATACTAAAGAGATATCTAGTAAAAAAAAGGCATCTGCTGATATTTCTCAGGTGTCCAGTGTGAGCAGGGCATGCAGAGTTGTGAGTCATTGTGCAGGTGTCTTCGGGAGCCTGGAGGTGGACGTACGTCAGAAGAGTCTACGGTGGAGAGCAGGACCTGGTGAGCTCATGGTCCTTTCAGCAGGAAGCACAGGAGAGTCTGGTTGTGCAGTCCAACTTGGGGATTCTTGGTGGATTTGCCAGCAGCGCGGGTCTTCTGGGGTGTTCTTGGGGGGTGGGAAATGGGTACATGACGTCAGAAAGCTGAGGTGGAGGGCCTTGGAGCCGGAATGTGCTGAGAATGGGGACGGGTGGCTCCAGCCCGGCAGCCGCAGACCCCTGGAGCCCGGAGCAGGCACCTTCTGCTGTGGTAGGGGGAAGCCGGGTGAGGTGAAGCTGGATGCAGCGGGTGCTAGGGAGAGAAAGCCCTGGCCGCCACAAGTCCTGCTCGCCATGTGCTGAGCCTGTCACTTGCTCTTCCATGTGGCGCTCTCTGTGATCTGTAGGATGAGGAAAGGGAGTGGCCTGTTTCTCTCTGCCGGCTCTGCAGTTTGAACGCTTGTGCAGTGAGTGCGAGGACTGTTGGGTGATTAGGTAAGGGAACGGAACGAGGTATCCATGACCTCAGAAATGGAAACCAAGGTTATGGGGAATAGCTACACCTCAGTATAGTCCCCAAGTCATGCACTCGTTTTACCAGGAACCTAGAACAATGGGCATTCCCTAACCTAACATTCCCGCAATCCATCCTTGAACATCTGCTCTATAGATGGTGGAAGATGTTAGCTGAAATCTTTAAGAAATTGTCTTGGGGTCAAGTAAATGTGCTAAGTGTTGCCTTAAATGAATTCAAATTAATTGTGCTCCCTCAGAACTTCTCAAGTCTTTGAGCATAATAATGTGCAGTATGAGCTCCTAGCACTTACTTGACCAAAACTATGTTTCTTTTGTCTTGCTTTATCTCAAGGCACAGCATTTCTGGGGAGGAGTGCCCTGATGCACATACTTTATTTAAAATTCTTTAAACAGCGAGGCAGGCCACTTTACCGTTAGGAAGGCGAGAGTGCAAACTGATCATTGTGCGAACTCCTCACTGCGCTGTCCAAAGCCTGGCTGTTTCCCCAGTGGCCTAGTGATGAATGTGAGGGCCTTGTTAGGTCAGCAGGCTGTGCTGGGCATGTCGCGCTCCGGGGCTGAATGACTCCATTCTAATGGGACTCGGATTCCAGCTCGGGTCCAGTAGCTGCATTCTAGCACAGCTGTGAGATGATTGCTTTTGCAGACCACGGCGTTTACCCCCTTCATGTGCACATGCTGTGAAATGTCTCTCTGGGGACTGAGAAGCACAAGGCGGAGCTGTCACCTGAAGTGACTGGCCAGGAGCTGGGGCCTGATGTGATCCACAGGTGGCAGGCGCAGCTCTGGCTCCTGCCTGCCTGTCCCAGCTGTGGGAGAAGCTTCGGGACCCTGGCTGGGGCTCCCCTTCCTCGGGAACCTTGTCCAGCCCAGCCTGGTGTTGCCTCTTGTACATGGCTGCAGTCATTCTATTTTCCATGAACAGCTATACAGATCGATTGTCCAACAACCCCCCCCCGGCCCAGGGGCTCTGGGGACCCCAGCCCCATCGGGGACAGCCAGCCTGGCTGTGGCGCTCTGGTCGCTTTCCTGGACTCCCCTTCTTTGTCCTGTCCCAGTGGCATTAACTTATGCTTCATCAGAGCATGTGGAGCACACTTTGAAAGCATCCAGTGAACTTCCATGTTTTCCCAGGACAGAATCTTTCATCAGGGGTCATTAACACGCACTTCATGTAGGTGAAGCTTTCTTAATTGAATTTTCTCAGTCTTGCCCAAAATAAAAGGCAGTTTCCATTTCTTAGCATCTGACACACGATGATTATTTTATTTGTGGAATAGGAGTTCAGAGCCATTTATAAACATGAAGCTGTTACAGAGAAATGCCTTTCCCAGGCCCTCTTATTAAAAAAGCAAATGAGACTGGTCTGAGGATGGAGTCCTACAAGATCCTGGATTAGAAGACATTTATTTAATTAAATATGGTCTTTTATGTACTACAGTATAGTGAAAAGTAAATGGAAACATTCTCTGTATAACAGTAGTGAACTAATCCTGTCTGACCACAGTGATAGGTAAAAGTTACCAATAACTGTGAAAATGTTAGTGACATACTAAGGAAACGGATGACTTTCAGAACAGCAGGTGAAATATGAGTTCAGCTCTGGCGGCTCTCACCCTGTACACAGGAATGGGGCTGGAAGGGAGCTGTGGAGACGCACGGATGAGGCTGTGGGCATTGAAGGCATCAATTTACACTTCATCGAAATGACTTATAATCCCATCACTCTGTATCAGGGTGACTCTTGGGAAGTTCGTCACCTTTTCAGGCTTAATGTTTTCGTATGGAAAAGGGCTGCCTCCACTTGGTGGTTGGTTGGATTCATAATATTGTGAATTCTGAGCACAGAAGCACTCAGTAAGCGGTAGATACTAATAATTTTTTATTTACCAAAGGGTAAATGTAAACTTTATTATGTAATATTAATAACTTTACTTCCAGTGTTTACCAAAATGCTTACAATGTGAATGAAACGACTCGCAAGGCACAGGGTGTATGTGACTAAACATACTCAGTCCTCTGTATCTCACCTTCTGTGTGTGGGGATCAGTAATCACAGGCTGAAAGTCCGTGGGGAAAATTCCATGAGTGCTGAACATGTACACATGTTTTCTCTTGTGAAATTCCCCAACAGTGGAGGGTACAGCTATCTCTGTAACACTGATATCATGCCGAGCATCGGAAGTCATCAAGGATGATGCACATGCCCTGCTGTGTGCGGGGTGCACTTCAGGTCGTGGTCCAACCCAATGACACTGTGAGAGGGAGCATGAGCATCTTGGAGTTGGTGTCCACAGCTCCCAGAAGCTGTCCCCTGTGGATGTGGAGGGTGACTGTGTTTGCCTACATCAGGATGGCCTGCGTCCCTCTCTTCTACTTCCTTTTATGGCTGATGGACGTTTCCTTAAACTGAATGCTCCTGTGATGCCCCCTGTTAGCCTTTCCACAGGTGCCCCTCACCGGGAGGTTCTGGGCTCCCTGCTCCGATGCATTCTGTGCCCCTCAGTCTGTGTGGCTTTCTGGTCACCAGTAGTCCTTTCACTCATGTATCCTTGCCAGAGTTTGTTCCTCCTTCTGTGGTTGAGCAGAGACTGCCAGGAGTCAGTGCTATATGGCTCCAGATGGCAGCACCAGGTACTGCGGGTCCAGGCCGTGTGCCTTGTGAGCTCATATTTCACTCGTGACTGCAGTGACACCATGACCATCACCCGGCACTGCAGTAGGAGCCCAGGGCCATGCTGGCTGCCACATGCTGGATGGTGGGACGTCTCGGGGCCCCTGAGCTCCGTCCACACTCACCCCAACCCTGGTCCGGATGAGACAGCGTGTGGTGGCCATGCTCAGGACAGCTCCACGAGCCCTTACTGGCGCCTGCAGACAGACAGACAGACAGACCTCCTTTCCACCTCCCTTCCCCTTTGCTGTCTTCAGGGCCAGATTTGCTTTGAGGTCTCAGTTGTAACAGGGCCGGACAGGGGTGAGAAGATCTCAGGGCGGTGAGTGCTGCTGTCTTCCAGCCACAGGCTGCGTGGAAACATGTGTCTCCATTTCCCAAGCCAAGTGCGTTATTCCATACCTGAGCCATTCATCATGCTTTCTGAGGTCGTGGCCTGGAGGCTCCTTCCACTGCAGTGCACAGGGAAGGCACACGGTCTCCGCTCTCTGTCCCCCAGAGAGAATGGTGTTGCTCACAAGTCCTCCGGTGGCGGGTGGGAGGTGGCCTTGGTGTCACACCTGTGCCAAGTCCCACACGTTCTCTCTGCCATGGGAAGAACACCCTGGGCCCGTCCTTCCCAGGACAGCAGGGACAATGGTCAGCTGAGTGTGCGGAGTCCAGAGAGTCCTGGGTCTGAGGATGGCGCTGACATTTTCTCCGTCTCCCCTTCTAGCTTCAGCCTGCATTTACAATACAGTATCTTGTAGTTGCTGGTGTGTGCTCGGTTTTAAGCTGCTTCAACCAGCTTATAGGCAGCTGCGTTTGTATGGGATATGTGGCTTCAAGCCTGATCACAAAGCCCTCTGGTGCCTTCTGGGCAGAAACCAAGCTTCTTTTCCTTTAAAGAACAAGGAGCGGAGCCCGCTGTGAGGCAGTGAACCCCTCACACAGGCACGACTAACCGCCTCCGTGTTCCCCCGTAGCTTGGAGGGTGCAGACGCTGGCAACGGGATCCGAGTGTTCGTGCCGGACATCGGGATGTTCATCGTCAGCCTGACCATCTGGCTCGTCTGTAGGAACATGGTCCAGAAACCCGCAGTGGAGGAAACAGCCCGGGACACCCCCGAGTTTGAAAACGAAGAACTGGTAAGTCCCACGGCCCGCATCTTCACACCGTGCTCCCCAGCGCCTGGCCCCCGGGTGGGTGGGAGGCTCCCCGTAGTGCCCAGTGGTCACCACGCAGCGGCCTGCGCGGCCCACACCTCAGCCCTCAGGTGCTCTCAGCAGGACCGGGCCCTGGCCCTTCCCACTGCCCCACCATCACCTGCATTGGCCTGACAGCCGCCCGGAGTCCCTGCACCAGATCGTGACCCTCTTGGTCTGAGTGTCACCAGTAGGGCCTCTGCCGTCGCCAGCCCGCTAACGAAATGCCATAGTTAGGGAAGCAAACTCATTCTTCCTTGAGGGAAGGCCGGTCACTTTGCCTGCCAGTGCAGCTGTGGCACACTATGGCCAGGGTTAGGTGCTCCGGAAGAAGAGCGTGAGAGCGGAAGGAAAAGGTAGAAATAAAGAGTGAAGCTGTTTTAGCTCATGGGAAGCTCAGGAGCAACCCAGACCGGGAGCACTTTAGTTTTCATTTATTTTTGTTAGACCCTGTGTGCCTGCGCGAAGGGAGTCAGGGCGTGGACACAGCGCTCTAAACCTGTTTTACTCCCTTCCCCACCCACCTTCTCTGGGCCCCTTCCCATCTGCAGAAGACCCGATTCCCTGGTTCCTATCACTTATGCTTTATTTTGCTTTTATTCGCTGTGTTTCTCATATAGAGAAGCCATGTGATTGCTAAGCTTGTGTGATTTATGTCTCTTAGCATTACCGTCTCAAGTGTATTCATTTTCCTGCAGTGACTGAAATTTATTCTTCCTTATGGCAGAATAGTGCTCCATTATGTTTAACTCCACATTTTCCTTATCCATTCATCTGTTGATCAACAATATCCTAACACACGTTAGGTGACATCACTTTAAAAGTCATTGCTCTTTTTTCTTTTTTCTTTTTGGTACCGGGGATCAAACTTGGGACCTTGCGCTTGCAAGGCAGGTGGTGGAGCACTGAGCTAAACCCCTGGCCCACATTGCTCTTTTTAAATTAAAAATAACTGACATTTATAAAGATAAAAGTCACTCAAAAATACTTGATTTGGCCATTTGACACAAGATATTTGGAACTAGCAAATGTTTTCAGTTACAAACTTTAGCAAGAAATTAAACCAGGCATGGTAGTATGTGGTATCGCATTGCCATCCCAGAACTCTGGGAGGCTGAGGCAGGAGGATTACAAGTTCTACCTCGGCCTGGACAGCTGAGGGACTTAATGAGACCCTGTCTCAAAATAAAAAGGGGTTGGTGACGTAGCCCAGTGCAAAAGCCCTGGGCTCAGTCCCCAGTACCACAAAAACCAAAAAGTAAACTTTTCAAGCTGACTTTAATAGACATTACTTACTTGAGAATGTTAATCACTAAGACATCAAAGGAAGAAAACTCTCAGTTACGCCGCATAATTTATGTCCTTCACCAATAAGCAGACACTTGCCTTGTATGCCCATTTCAAAACAAGACAGTGAAGAGAGGATAAAATTCAGTAAACCGATGCAAACTACAGATTATATTACTGCCTGAAACCCTTACGGTTAATGCTGTACAATCACACTGCCTGTGACTATTCTGATCATTTTTAGGGCAAGAAAGGTGCATGACATAAAAAATAATTGTAGCAGAGTAGCTGCTAACAATATCTTGCGTTCACATCTAGAAATTCTAGAAATGGATAAAACCATGACTACAATTTCGTGGACTTTACAGTTTCAGGACAGGGAATTTAAATCTTGAATATTTGAGTGTCATTATATAATATTTACAGTTTTGAAAGATACTGCTGAAATAATCCTTATTAAAAATTATCCAGGTTTGGCAGAAGTAAGCCATTTGCTCAAGTACTCCGAGCTTGAGGCTCTTCACTGTGGTCTCTGAAGGTGCGATTCCTTCGCGGTCACCCTCACCCTGCAGATGGAGGCCCAGGGTCACTGCAGAAACCCAGTGGCTGTGCGATGTCTGAGGCAGTTCTCTGTCTTCCTCCTTCTTGTGCAAAGTGGGTTAATGGGCTCAGTGGCAGTGCGTGCATGTAGTGTCTGCGAGGCCCCGGGTTTAATCCACAGCAGTAAGAGCGAAGTAAGAAAGAAGCTGATAATAAATCACAGAGTTTTTGTGAATACTAAATTAAATATCAAAGGAAGCGCACCTAGCACAGTGCCTGGTCATTTGTCCCCATCTGGACCCTCTCCCTGTGAGAGGCAGTGGACAGTTTCAAACTCAAGGTCCTCTTAGAAGTCCAGAAACCTAGAGTGAAACTTAGAGCAGACAGCGCGTTTGCGGCAACCCACTCTGCGAAGGAATCTCCTGTTCTGCTTACATGGCCAGGCGTGAGCCGCAGCCTGTCCTGAACAGGATGCGTCAGCAGGGACCAACTGGGGACTCGAGCTGGGGGACGGTTAGGAGGAAGGCTCACGCATCGGGTGCGGGAGAGACCATGGCGCCACTGCAGGACCGGCTGCAATCATGTTTCCTCCCTCGCGATGCTCCGTTTTCTTATTTAGACTCACGGTGCCTCTTTCCCATTTGAAACTTGTTTAAGCATCTAAACCTCGTACAAGATTAATCACATCATTTGAAGATGACAGTGACACAGAGAGGTTCCCTAGAGGAACACTTCTCATGCTGGGCTCTGAGGATACTGAATCCCTTCATAGAGGTCAGTTTTCCTTCTCGGTAAAATTTGGTTTTGGCTATGCAGATATCACTTTCCGTGCTTAGTCCATTCCTGGCCACCAGCTAGCCCAGGGGGATAGGGAGGTGGCTGTGTCCCTGGCACTCACCATGAGGAATGGTCCCTACATGCGATAGCGGGCCAGGAGGCTGAATGGAGTAGGAGCCCAGAGCCAAAGCAAGTGAAGGAATTTGTTTTATTTTTGAAGGGCCCAATTACTTCCTACTGCTGCTTATAAATCTTGGCATTGGCACTCCAGAATGTTTGGGTTTGAGGATCCTGAAATAATGATGTTTGCTGCTATTGTGTCTGCATTCATTCGCCTCAGTGGAGCAGTGGCTCCTCTTCCACAGCAGCAAAGCCCTGGGGACCCAGGTCTCCTTGATTGGATGATGGGGTTCATGTGGGCTGGTTGGAGGGTGTTCCCAAACCCAAGGGTCCCTTAAAGACCCCTCTGGGGAAGTAGAGTCACAGGGCGTCGGTGCAGCTGGGGTTTTGTCCTGCTCGGGTTTTTGCAGAGTCATAGGGAGCCCAGCTCAGCAGGGAAGCCACCTCCTCATGTGCCAGAGAAAGTTTCCTCAGCAGACATGTCTGTGCTCATGTTTATTTGTTCATTTTGATTCAGAGCACATCTGCCAGTCACAGATTCAGTCAAACATTCCTACTCTGAAACTTTAAAAAATGAGTTGTATTATGAAAATTAAATTGTGTAGTAAAGGGTTCTCCATGCACTGAAATACTGAGTTCACCAAAGTGATATTATCTGTGTATCCTATACGTGTAGTTCTTTCAAGCTATGTCCTGGGACTTGAGTGAGGCCTTATTTTTAAGCAAATACCATTTTCATATATTTTAAACCAAGTTTATAAAAAAGTGTTTATCCAAATAGAAACTGCAGTCAAAACTTGATCTATGAAAGAGTCAATTTTAATAGTCTGACAAATCAAATACTTTTTAAAAATAAAGGATAAAAAGCGTATTTTAATATAAGCTATCTGCCCTTCTCCTGTTAAAAGCAGGGACAGCATTTAGGCCCTGCGGAAGTGCATTGAAATCCGCCCTGAGTCTCAGTGCACCCTCTGCCTCCTAACACACACACACCGCCCCCAGCACCGTGGCACCCGCAGCCCGGCACAGAAAGTTGCCCATGCTCCGAGCCGCAGACGTCCGTGCTGAGCTCCAAGTTCCATCTGTCCCCAGCAAGGCGCGAAGACTGGAAGAAGCCCTGGCCGCAGGCCTGGCCTGCACACAGCTCCAGCCTGACTTCGTCCCGAGGCTCCTTCTGAGAGGTCCTGGCCCCACTTCTGAGCAGGCACACAGCCCTGAGAAGCCCTGCAGGCCCCGCACTTCCTGTCTTTCCCTGGAGGGAAACCTGTCTCTGGGCCTGTCCCCAAGACGTTGTCTCCCCCACTGTCCTGGACAACCAGGTGACCCTGAAGGGCTCCTGAAGGTCACTCTTGGGGTGGGGGAGAACTTCCTGTCTGCGCCCCTCGCAGTGGCTCTCAGGGCTGGCAGTGGTGATTGCCGTTGGTTTAGACGAAAGAGAAGCTTTCGGACTGGGGAAGTCCCGGCCAGCTTCTTCATGGAGAGGGTTACCTTTGGCCCCCAGAGCCTTCCCGCCACCTCTCCCTGGCCACCTGGTGAGAGTGTGGGTGCCGCTCCCCCTGCCTCCAGACAGCAGCCCCGGGAGAAGCCCACCCACAGTGCCTGCCGCACAGGAAGTCAGGGCGCCCTGGGTACAGAGCTCAGGGGTGACCTTTGCCCCGCTGCGTAACAAGCGCCACTTACAGAGGGTTAAGGGCTGGGAGGCCAGGGCGTAGCTCGGTGGGAGAGCACTTGCAAAAGTAGAAAAGAGGAACCAGGATCCGGAAGTGAGCCCAGAGCTTTTGAACTGCCATCGTTTTTGTGTTACCCGTTCACGCGGGCCATGGGTGACAGTGCGTGCCTGTCCTCTCTGCCCTCTTCAAGAAATCAAAGGAGCCTTTGACCTTTATGATGTTTCTAGATCAATATTGGTAGAAATTCTCAGAACGCTTTGTTCTGTTCCGGGAACACTTGATAGGTGATTTTAAGCATTTAAATTGCAAATATCAATAAAGCACACCTATAGGAAATTTGTGAGAAACCCTGCCCGTTGGGGGGCTGAGCAGGGTGGTGGCCCCCGAGGTGAGAGGACCTGCAGTGTCCCCTCGCCACCCCTGTGTCACCCAGGAGCTCCTGGGCCTGCCTTCTTCCTCTCTCCTCCTGGAACTGGAAGCAGCCTGCACCAGGACAGTCACCGCCCTCCACCCACCCCATCCAGGTCAGCGTGGGCTCTATCCATGCCTAGGTGTGGCCAGACCTGGAGCTCCTCGTCCCCTGCAGCGGCAGCAGCTGTGGCTCTACCTCCAGATTCTGTTCCAGCTCACTCTGTCCTCTGCCACCATCCTCAACAAGCAGCCCCTGCCTCCCAAAGGAGGCAGAAATACCCCTCAGAGGGGACCCCCCACTTCCATCTCGCTCTTTTTGCAGTTTCCTGCAGTGTCCCTCAGGAGACACCAGGGGTCAAGGACGCTGCTGTCTTGTTCCAGGTATGGTGAAATCACCCTGGATGGAGCACCTGGCCACGCCCACACCCGGTAGCTGGACACAGACACCCAGCGCCAAATAGAGAGGCAGAGCCAGAGCTGTGTGTGCAGGGCTGTGTGCCTGTGAACACTGCTTTGGTTTAGCTGTCTGTAGGTGATCTTGTTTTTAATTTGAAAGCAATATTCCTTTAAGCAAAGGGCCAGACCCATTTGCCAGTCTCCCCTGCCATCCTCTGCTTCCCACGCATCACTGACTGGTGACCCAGCCCAGCCAGTGCAGGTCCCAGGGGTGGTTACAGACCTCTTAGGGACACAGCCTTGGGGGTTCGGCAGCCGAGTGCTAAGTGCCCAGCCCCCTGCTCAGCCTGAAGAAAGGGGGAGGCTTCCACTGCTCAGGCCCTGCAGTGTGGCTGGAGGTGGAGGAGATGCTGAGGTCAGTTTCTGCGGCAGGTTTCCCATCAAGGGGGCCACAAGGCAAGTCTAGCAGGATACGCCATGGTGGGCACCCATGGGCTGACAGCCCAGGACCCTGCCTTCCTGCATACCCTGACGCGAGTCCCGGTTCCTCAGGTGGGGCTGGCCACCTGTCCTCGGATGCCCCACATGGCCCTCACGGGGTGCCAAGCACAAGCTCTTGTATGCTTGGGCCCCACCAGTGTAAATAGGTGTTGAGTAGAAGGACAGCATGCGGGCCACTGCGGGTGGGAGGTGACCATGAACGGGAGGTGACCTCGGGCAGGAGATGACCGTAGGCAGGTGACCATGGGTGGAGGTGACTGCGGGTGGGGTGACCCTAGGCGGGACTTGGAAGCTGCTGTGTGCAGAGACCACAGGACGCATGCAGAGCTGGGTCCATAGCGCTTATTGGATTTTTGAAATCAGGAACTTTTATTTATTTTTTAGTGTTCAGTTTTTTCTTTTAAACTGGCAAACAGTAGTTGTATGCATTTATGGGTTGCAAACGTGTCTGCATACCTGTACGTGTGTAGTAACAGAATGACTGGACCACGGCAGTCCACACATCTATGCCTTGCAGATGTCACTCGTGTTGAGAACATGTAACATCCCAGCATCAAGCCATGCTGTAATGTGTAGTGGTCACTGTACAGCGGTCATCGAGGCTGTTGTGCCTCCTGCCCCGGCCCTGCCCTGGCTGACAAGGTTCAGCCCTGTAGACTCTGTGTGGAGGGAGGGTTTGTGTCTGGCCTGGCAGCCTGCACACAGCAAAAGTCCTCTAGTTGTGTTGTCATGAAAACCAGGATTCCTGTTGAAGCCAGTGTGTTGAAGAAGTGAGGCAGAGGTCTCCAAAGCCCTTGGGTAGGCTTTAGATTTGGTGTGGTCATAGCTCTAGGTGATGTTCTAGTGGACTTCGTAAACCCTGCTCTCTGCTGCTCCCGTGGTCCCCTGCAGGCTCTAGCTGTGTCCACCAGGGGGGACAGAGCCTCCTGTCAGTACACACAGTGCACATCCTCTCCTGCCACGGAGGCTCACAGGGTGGGGACAGTGCCTGAGGCTGAGCCAGCAGGCGGGACAGCAGGGCCCAGGGTTGCCACCCCACCCTGTAGTCTCTGCTCAGCAGGTTCAGGAAGCATCTCCATCCGGGCCCAGTTCTGGTGTGGCTCACTGGAAGGACCAGTGAGGGTTCCTCCACACTGCATCTAACAGCCTCACCAGGCTCCAGGCCCTGAGGCTTCCTTGATTTGACCATGTCTGAAGTACAGGACGTTTGCATGAAAGTCACAGAGGGTTCCGTAGGGGACCCAAGTAGCCCTTGCCCCCCGCCCCCGCCGTGTGTGTGTGTGTGTGTGTGTGTGTGTGTGTGTGCGTGCACGCGCGCGTTCTGTTTTCTTTTCTTGAGACAGGGCCTTGCTACAGAGCCCAGGCTGGCCTCAGACTCCCAGCCTTCCTCTTGCCTAAGCTTGCCCAGTGCTGAGGGCTCAGGTGTGCACCCTTGAGCCTAGCCCTTCCATGGTTTTCCTCCCTTCCAAGCAACTTCCTCCGAGGAGGGGACTTTCCCTGTGTCGCTCACCTGTTGTGGACTGAGGAGAACCCACAGGCCCTGGCCTGTGTGTGGACACAGGGTGGGGGGAAGCCAGGTGCTGCTTGGGACAGTGTCCTCCCAGGTGGGGTGCAGGGAGCTGGGGCTGCTCCCCAAGTCCTTCCCTCCCTGTGGCATGCATGGAAGCGGGGGTGAGAGGCTTCATGGCCTTCCTGCTGTGCCACCCCCTCTCCAAGCCACAGCCTTGGCCTTGCTGCTGCAACCCACCACAGGGGTGGCTCTGTGCATGCAATGTCCTGCCCCCAGGGAGGCCACGCCCACGGGGAGGCTGGAAGCCTCGAGGAGAGCCTGGCCCGCCGAGTCTCTGCAGACCTTCTCCTGGCAGGCCGCAGAGTGGATTGGAAGAGGGCGTGTCAGCCCAGAGCGGACAGCCAGACGTTTTGCTCTGTGGACGGGGCTCTCCGAGGGCATGGGCTGACGGGTGCATAGACACTTGAGCTAAATGTCCCCGAGAACCTGTGACCTGGGGCCCAGGGCTGAGGACTCCAAGCCCCTTGGCCTGGAGACGCGTCCCATTCCCCTTCCATCTCCAGATGATGGCTTCTGTGTATGAGTCCTTCAGAAACCTGGCCTTTTAGGGAAAGACAGTCATTAGCACCCGATTTCCCATTTACTGTCTAAAAGTAACAAGTGAGCAAAAAGCACCTGTGTGCTGAAAAATGAGAAATGTCTGTGTGTTTGCTTGTGTGGGCACGCGTTTCCCCCAGCTCCCTAGTGACCCTGCCCTGGGTGGAGCCAGAGTCCTTCCCCAGAGGGATAAACCAGAAAGCAACTGCACACGCAGCCAGGGAGCCCAAGCCGTCCTCCTGCTAGGCCAGGAAACACTGAAGTGGCAACCAAGATAACCTCAGACAGCAGAGGGGCTTCCTGAGCACCAACCATGCCACCCACAGCCTCAGCGCTGTGGCGGCAGTGAGTCTCCCGGCAACCGAGGAGGAGCAGTAGAGAAAGACCAAACCAAGACTGGCACAGCTGAGATGGCTAACAGACACTTGGGCGGTTTCTTCTCCTGCCTGTAAGAAGCCAGGTGTGGTGGTACATGGCTGTGACCCCAGCACTCTGGGAGGCTGAGGTAGGAGGATCTCAATTTTGAGCCCAATATGGGCAACTTAGCAACTTAGTGAGACCCTGGCTCACAACAAAAAGGGCTGAAGACGTAGCTTGTAGAAGAGGCCCTGGATTCAATGCCCAGTACCTCAAAAAAGAAAGAAGGGGGAGAGAGAGCACAGGTACTGATGCCCTGGCAAGGCCCCCGGGGCCCTGTGCTAGGGATGTCCTGCCCATGTCCTCAGGACAACCAGAGGGACCAGGCACTGCGGGCGGCAGGGGCTGGACTGGGCATTTCTGCTTGTCACCTTGCAGGCCAGAGGAGAGAAAATGGACTCCAAGGAGGCACTGATTGAGGATGAGGACCTGGACGGGGCTGACATGGAGGACACCGAGGGGGAGGACAGTGCCCGGCTGAGGCTGTTCCGCCAGCTGGCCTCGCTGGCCTCGCGACTCAAAGAGTTCGTGGGGAATATGATCACCACGGCCGGCAAGGTGGTGGTCACCATCCTCCTGGGCTCCTCAGGTGAGTGTGGGAGGGACAGGGATGAGCTGCAGCCACAGCCCACCGGAAGCCAGCGGCTCCATTCTGGTCTGGGCATTTTCGGATGGTTTCTGTTCACTCTGGGAAACACCGTGTTTCACGTCTCAGGGGCCTCACTTCCTGGGCTCAGGTTAGAGTCACAGCCATTTCCCTCCCCCGAGCCACAAGTTGCACTAACACAGTGGCCTGTGCACCTGGGCAGTGTGTCCCGCCTTCCAAGGCCCAGCTGTCAGCACTGACCCCGGAACCCTCGCTGAACTCCTGGAAGTCTGATTGCAATCTCCAGGCGAGACTCACTTCCGCCAAGGGCAGGACGGCCCCTTACTCCATAGTAAAGTTAGCTCCATCTTTCTCTCCAGATCCGTAGCCCCCAGCTCGGGATGCTGTTAGAATTGAGTCCCCCAGACTCTTTCCAAAAAGGGCCAAGATTAGATGACTCCGCTGTTTTTTACTAGGAAAAAAGAGGGAAAGAAAGAATTTCTCAAGAAATAAAACCCAGTGTTTTAATCAGGAGTCCTTTCACATGCCCGATTAAATCATCATAACATCTGTAAAGCGCCAGCCTCTTCTTGCATCTCCTCTTTGTGGGATAGGATGAGGATGTGAGGAGACTTCAGCTGCCAGAGTGTACTATTATTATGAATACTACTTAACTAAAAAGTAAGTAAAACCGGGAGTGTGATGCCGCACACCTGTAACCTCAGAACTTGGTAGGCTGAGGCAGGAGGATTGCTGACAGTTTGAGGCCACCCTGGGCTACACAGTGATTTCAAGTCCAGCCTGAACTGCATAGAGAGACCCTGTCTCAAAAAAAAATTAAAAAGGTAAATCATTGTAAAGGAAAAGCTGTGATAAAGTTGGAGCAGATGCGCAGTTATTCCTGAAACATCGAAAAGAGAAACTAGTCAAGAAAGGTGCAGATTCTCTTGGTGAGAAAAGCAGTGTCCTCAGCTCAAGAGACCCTGGTAGAATCTCTCTGTCATCTTGTCTTTCCTAGAAAACTGTTGCTGTTCTGTGGTCTTCTTCACAATGAATGGAGCACTGGTTTTGATTGGATGTGGTCGCTGCTGTGAAGCAGGGCCACTCCATTCATCCCAGCCTCGGTGCCTATGGGTGCAGGGTGCCCCAGTTCCCCATCACTGACACCTTGTCCCTGTCCCTGTCCCCAGGCATGATGCTGCCCTCACTGACCTCGGCTGTCTACTTCTTCGTCTTCCTGGGCCTGTGCACCTGGTGGTCCTGGTGCCGCACGTTTGACCCACTACTGTTCAGCTGCCTCTGTGTCCTGCTGGCCATCTTCACAGCCGGGCACCTAATTGGGCTGTACTTATACCAGTTCCAGTTCTTCCAGGAGGCCGTACCCCCCAATGACTACTACGCAAGGTGAGGGGTGCAGGTGGTAAGGAGAGGCTGTGCTGTCCCCACCTGCTGTGATCATTTTCAGTGTTGAACAAAGACTTGTCAGAGTGGGGAAGCCACTGTCTCAGTTACTTTTTCATTGCTGAGACAAAATACCTGACACTTACAAGTTAAAGAAGGAAAGGTTTATTCCAGCTCACAGTTTATAGAGGTCTCAGTCCATAGTTGGCTGGCTGCAAGGCAGGGTGGCTTGGCAGAGGGGCATCACAGAGGAGAAACAGTCCTTGGCAGGGCAAGCAGGAAGCAGTACCAATGAGCTTCCCTTTCCCTTTTATTTCATCTAAGCTACAAGCCTATTGGTTGGTGCCACCCACACCCAGGGTGGGCCTTCCTGTTACCCACCCCAGAGCAATGCTAAACCAATGAGTGCACTAATTTAGTGATCACACACCCTTAGCCCATATCCACACACCATAGATCCAGCCACCTCCAAAAAGCCCCACCTATGAGCACATGAGGCTTTGGGGGGACATTTAGATACAAGCCATGACAGACACCTAGCCCTTCAGTTTTATTGGGCAACTCAGTCTAGAAGGGAAAAACGGATCCCCTTGCTTGGAGGTGCTGTTGGCCTGGAGGAAGGGGTGCTGCCGTTTGTGGCACTCGGGGCTGATACTGATTCTCCTGGAGGAACACTACATTGAAGAATAATTAGGCAGTGTCTCCAGCAACCAGCTAGAAAGAGCTTGCACTGGCCACGTGTATGATGAACAAAAGTAGGAACGGCTCATTGTAAACAGTGAAAAATAACAACATGGTGAGAGGAATAGCTGATGATTTGCCTCAGTTCCAAGTGACCATTGTACCAAGTCCTCATTGTGAGAATGCGATTGAAGGTAAAGAATCCAGAGTAGACTTTGATTTCCTAGGGATTCTAAACCATTCTCAAAGAGGGAAACCTCCTTACAAGATAACAGGGACCAATGAAAGGGAGAGAAATAATAAGATTAGAAAATTACTGTTTATTAATCCTTCATGAAGTGTCTGATTCTGACCACCACCTGAGGTTGCTGCTTGCAGGCTGGTGGGGATGGAGGGTCTTGACTGCCGGTCATTGCAAAGGGAAGATCTTAGTTCACAACAGCGGTCGATACATGGCCAGCTGACCATAGTCCACCCCCAGGGCGGGGCAGCATGACACCCCTCTTGATGTGGCATGGTGTGTGACATCTGTGGCTGCTGATGACAGCCCGCAGACCTGATCGCCAGAGTGCAAGAGGAGATCAGAAACGGCTTTAAATGGTTCCAGGAGAAAGACCAGCAGAGCAAAGCCGGGGTGTGGTCCACACAGCTGATGACCTGGTCTCTAAAATCAGCATCCAGCAGAGCAAGAGAGTGTACAGGGTGGGTGAGAGCACCCTTGTTACAGAAGTCCACAGACGCCCCACAAGCACGTGTGGGTCTGTGGATTGGACGGCCTGGGTCCCTGCTCAACAGCCGATTCCTAAGGGTGTTTGGGGTCAAGCGGGGAGCTTTCAGTGCCAAGTGGGCATTAGATGCCGGTGTTGCTGACTCCGGGCCCTGCGTGAGGGAGTGGTGACGTGCAGGGAAGGCCACTGTCCTGAGTGCGGCGTGGGGGCGACATTGGGGCCTTGAGTATATACAGTTGCTGGGACGGGTGATCTCGGGAGTCCCCACCATCCTCAGCAGTGGAGATGTCCACAAGTGCAAGTGACAGGGAGGTGAAGGGGCAGGAGTTCGCAGAGCCCAGGGCACTGCCGTGTGAAGACCGCGTGGGTCCCCTCCTCTGCCGTGCCCTGGGAAGTGGGGTGCGTCCTGCCCTCCCGCTGGGAAATGGGGGACTGTGTTTTCACAGAGCACAAATAGCATCATGTGAGCGGTGCAGGCACATGGCTTTGTGTGACAGTGATCCCGAAGGTGCCGTGTGTGCTTCCGCTGATTCCTGGGCGGAATCAGCCCATAAAAATACCACTTTATTTCTGTGTCTGCATGGTGCAGAATGCAGTATGTCAGTCAAATTCCAAACCACCTAAATTCAGTGAAATAAAAACGGTGCCCTACACACACACATGCAGCCTTAATTCTAAATCCAGTTGGCTCGGCTGGGGTGGACCTGGAAACTGGAGACTCGGCCCGTCTAACTGGGAAGCGCAGGCAGTGAGGGCCCCTCGACGGTGCAGGTTACACAGTGCTTCTTTCAGCAAGAGGGAATGAATGCTCGATTTCACTGCAGCTGTCCCTTCTGCACTAAATGGGTCCTGCCATTTCTTTCAGACTTCTAATTCTCGGTTTATTGAACACATATAGAAAAAATGCTGCGCACTGTTGAAAGAGCAGCCTTTCAGGTGATGACTTAATCGGAAATGTAAATATCCTGGTAGGGCCATAGTTAGGGGGCGGGTTGGGGTTCTTTCTCCCTGCTAGTTGAGAGCCTTTTCTGCCATCTAGAGCTGATGGTAGGAAATACAGTGGTGCCTCAGTTTGTGAACTCAATTCCTTCCACAGTTCTAGAGAAGATGACCATGTTGCTGTTCATCACCTGATGCAGAGTTCGCAAACAAAAGCAGAATTTGCCAAATGCTTCTGTTTGCAAACCAAATTGTTCAAAAACAAAAGTGTTCATAAATGCAGGTGCTACTGTACAAGGACTATTTATAACCACCTTGAAAATGCTTGCGTAGATCAGGCAAGTTCTGTGCAGGGTCGGTGAGCAGGTATTTAAAAACTTCATAACCCTGCAATTTGAATTCCATGTTTTCGTCACACTTTACAAAGTATTTTCCCATTGTTTTTTCCAGCCCTTTGACAATATCAAACTCATGAGTGACTCAAACTGTACTGAGACAGGTGGAGGCCCAGGCTCGGCCCTGGGGCGATGGTCTGCCTCCTGTGGTGTAGACAGCAGCTGTTCTACTGGTGTTGCCATAGTTGTTTTTCCTCTGAATTGTCACAAACTGAAAAGTCTAGTCATCACTTCTTAGAGACATGGTGTCTCTCCCAGGTCAGAGTCTGGTCCTGACCTCTCATGGAGTGGGTCACTAAGAACCAGGTAGCTCCTCAGGACACGATGTCTGAGTGGATCAGTGCTGTTGGTGAATTTCCTGTTGGAGGTCCCATCCACCCCTTAAGCTGTGATAATGGGACCTTGTACGTTATTCTTTTAGATCTTTGGAATTAACATCTTTAAAACCATTGCTTTCTCCTAAGGAGCAGTTTTAATTCATTGCTATTAGCCCCAGTGTCTGAGTTGGAAAAAAATTCAAACTGTAAATGAGCACAGATAGATAGATGGATGGATAGATAGGTGGATGGATGGATGGGAGGTTGGGTGGATGGATGGATGGATGGATGGTTGGGTGGATGATGGATGGATGGGTGGGTGGATAGACGGATGGGTTGATGGATGGGTGGATGGATAGATGGATGGATGGATGGGTGGGTGGATGGGTGGGTGGATGGATGGATGAGTGGGTGGGTGGGTGGATGGATGGATGGATGGGTGGGTGGATGGATGAATGGATGGATGGATGAGTGGGTGGATAGATGTATGGGTGGATGGATGGATGTTGTCCTTCAGAGGTCTTTATCACAAAGGTCGAAGCCACAGAGACTCTGGCCCCTTCATCCAGCTTCTGGACACAGCTGCCATTGAAACCCTCCAAGGGTGCTGATCCTTTCCAAGGCTACCTGTTGGGTACTCTAGTGAAAGTGATCCTTATTTTTAGACACACTGAATTGATTTTTTATTGTTATTGATGTAATACATGATTGTTGGGGATTATTTGAAAAGTAAGAGAGGAAAACACTTTTTTTAAAAAATGTAATTCTAACTCCCCAAAATGAATACTACTGACTTGTGGTCTGTATTATTCCAGTATTTTCCCTTTGGTACTTTCTGAAGATGAACTTTGAATCCTACCAGACATGCTGTTTTAAAACGAGCTTTACTCTTCTGAGCACTGCAGCTTCCTAGGCTGTGAATCTCCAAAGTGCACTTTCAACAGGATGCAGAGCATTTGCTACGAAGCTGCTCTGTGCCTCAGCCTGTCCCTGGGTTGTCACTGGGCTGACAGTCCCTCTTTTCTGCTCTGTGCCAGAACCGACATCACATTACCTCTAAATCTGAATAAACTCATAAAGACCAAGAAGCAACCCCACAACCCTGTGCGTGCTGGTTCTGTGTGAGGATCCCGAGGTTGTGGTCCGGAGCCAACATCCTATTAACTACTGGTTGTGATGCCCTCCCCACACCAGTGTTACCTGCTGAGAGCCTTGCCTCCTGTGAGAGTTCATCTTGATTGCCAGCTTGATTGGCTTGATAGATGCCTGCAGATCAGTAAGGCACACCTCTGTGGTGGTAGGCCATGGAGGAGCGAGCGACCTTAGGGATTAGATCAAGTCCCTGCCCCCTTCTCTTGGGCTCTTCCTTGCTCTCTGCTTCACAGAGGCCATGAATTGAGCAGCTTTCCTCTTCCACAGCCTTTGCCATGATGGCAGCCTAGGAGCTAGCCAACCATGGACTGAAACTTCTGAAACCATGAGCCAAGTAAACCTTTTCTCCCTTTAATTGTTCATTGTGACCCAGCAATGGGAATTTGACCTGTATTCCTGGGCTGGCCCAGATGGAGGGGTCTTGTTTTTCCAGGGTGAGCCTGTCTTTTTAACTCAGTGAACCCAAGGATCATCTGGTTCTTGGCAGACTCCCTTAGACCTTGGTGGACTTTTTCCCATTATTTTATCCAGCAGAGGCCGTAGAGAGCTGGACTGAGGAACATGTGGGAGAGACCAAGGCTGCCCGGAAGCTTGGTGTGATGTTGAGTCGGGAGAGAATTACTGATGTCTTCCATCTGTGCACACAGGAGTGGCATGGCAATATTTTCCAAAACAAACTTCAAGACTCATTGTTTGACAAGGATGAGTGCACTTCCAGGAAGGTTAAGGCAAAGTAGGGTTATCCTTCCCAAATCTGAAATGCTGTAGTCCATTACAGCCCTAAAATTATT